GCTTTCTGTGAGTCGTGCTGTCTGACCGCAGGCCGAGCCGTGCTGTCTGTGAGCCGTGCTGTCTGTGAGCCGTGCTGTCTGACCGCAGGCCGAGCCGTGCTGTCTGGGAGCCGTGCTGTCTGACCGCAGGCGCGCGTCTGCTGTGTCTTTCCTGTTTCTCTGGGTGCGTGCCGTCACGGCGTCTGTGACTGGTGTTCCCGTGTTGGAGGCCGGGCTGCTTCCCGGCGTGGTTGTCCCACTTTACGATCCCAGTAGCCGTGGGTCAGGGCTACAACCTACCCACACCCTCCCTAGCGTCAACGGGTGCCGTTTTCCCAGGGCGGGGGGATATCCCATCAGAGGTCGGATTTACCGTCTCCAGCGACAGACAATCGAAAGCATCATTTGTGTCCGGTGGCCGGTCAGTCGAGCATCCTCGCTGACGGGGTATCTGTCCATGGTCTTTGCCTGTGGCTCTTCTGTTCGTTTTCGTTGCTTTTTTTTTCACTTTCATTTTCATTTCTGTCTCTATTCATTTGCCTTATTTTTCTGGGGTGGGCAAGTGCATGCTCCCCACCTACCCAGGGCCTCGCTTTGCCCCTGGCCAGTGCTCATCCAGCGTCCCTCTCTCAAAGCTCCTGGCTGGCTGTCAGCAGGCAGTGGCTTTGGGGGCTGAAGCTGACTGGTGACCCTGAGCAGGACAGTAGAGGGAGGGGAGGGTGTAGACTAGGCTGGGGGTGGGGCTCTGAAGCCTGGCCAGGCACTGTGCTGAGGGACTGGTTCCCCGCGAGAGAGTGCACTGACCCAGCTGCAGTCACCCAGCGAGCTAGCAAGAGCGGGAACCGGGCACACTCTGAGCCCTGCACCCCTGCCCTGTCCCTCCAGGCTTCCTGACCAAGTGTATCCAACTGTATGAGACCACAGTGGTGCGGCACGGCCTCATGCTCGTGGGACCCACAGGCTCCGGGAAGAGTATGGTGCGTGCAGCCGGCTGCATGGGTAGCCAGGGCCTGGGACTGAGCCGGGCGGCCCAGCCTGATAGGGCCTTGGACAGAGCTGGGGGTGGTCCAGCCTGAGAGGGGCCTTGGCTTCCCTTTTCGACTCCTCGGCCTCCTAGACCCAGCCTTGCTCCCTGGGGAGCCTGGAGACTTACAGGTGACGTCTCTCTCCAGTGTTACAAAGTCCTGGCGGCCGCGCTGACCTCACTCAAGGGGCAGCCGTCCATCAGCGGTGGCGTGTACGAGGCTGTCAACTACTACGTGCTCAACCCCAAGTCCATCACCATGGGCCAGCTCTACGGGGAGTTTGACCTGCTCACCCACGAGTGGTGAGGGACCACAGGCCCCCTCCTCCCCTTAGCCAGTGAAAGGCTGGCACTTTACCTCCAGAGCCTAAACTCCGGGGTTTTACCCACTACGTCCCCCGCACCCACCCAGCACTTTCCTCATCCTGGG